CCCACAAAACAGGCCACACCTACAGAAGAGGTTCTAAAAAATTTTGAAACCCACCACTGCTGTACAGAGATATACAGTCAGCTCTGTTGCTCTTCTCTCCGCTCTTTCTAGAATCTCAACATCTTTCTTATATCGTGGCAACCAAAACTGGATGCAGTATTCCAAGTGTGGCCTTACCAAAGAATTATAAAGTGGTATTAAAACTGCATGTGATCTTGATTCTATCCTTCTGTTTATGCAGCCTAGAACTGTGTTGGCTTTTTTGGCAGCTGCTGCACACGGCTGGCTCATATTTAAATGGTTATCCACTAGGATTCCAAGATCCCTCTCACAGTTACTACTATACTATCTTCTAAGCTGAGTTGCATGGCAGAGCGGATTGCCATGCCTCAGCTGTTTTACTCCCCAGCGGTAATGCAGAAGGTACTTTTTCTCAAAACTGCGCACACAAGCAATCACCGAACCGGTTGTTCAACCAGTAGGATCCCACCACTGAGGTAAATGTCACAGATTCAAACAACTATCCATCTTTTACAGTGCCCCCTGGGATCAACATACATACATTTGTTGGTCGCAAATATCCTTGCCATCAATGTAGCCCAGCACTGGGCTGGAACTGTATAAATTATGCTTTTATTAAAGCTTTTAATGTTTTTGTAATGTAATTAATATTTTCCCCCTTTCTACTTCCTGCATTTCTGACATGAGACAAAATCAGTAAAGCTCTCCTTTTGATCCCAAGGTCTTTCTACTATCCCAAGAGCTTTGCTGAGCATAAGGAAAAAAACACTACTTTCAAGGTTTGGGGGGGGAGGGTAAGCAGATAAATTTTACATTTTGCGTATCTTTCTTCATGCCTATGGCAGCCTTTCCTGACAATGTGTATATGAATGCTCTTATTGGAGCAGGATACTAAGAGACACCATCTAGGATAGCTGGAAGGCACCAAAATGAGAAAGATTGGCCCTTTCCTTTTATTATGCTGGAAGATATTACATTAGTAACCCCAAAATCATTTGCATATTATAAGTGAAAAACATCAAAGTTAAAAAGTTCCAAAGTTCTGGCTTAGTTTTCTGTTAAAATTGATGTCAAAAATAAAAGAGAAATAAAGGGAACCGAAACAAACATAAGTGAATGAAAAATCAAATCAATTGAATGTTTAAAGTATATATCCTTTTAAGTTCCAAATGAACTCAAAATGAAATTTCACTACGGACAGGAAGCTATGTCAAAACAAGCAACATCTCTTCTTTCTTCAAAACCCCTTCCATTTATAAAGTTTCTGCTTCATATTTGGATGGTATTTGACTATCTAGCCATAACCCTGCAAAGAAAATTAACCTTAAATTAGTTAGATTTGCATGCTTGAGGGACTGAGAAGGATTCGCTTCAGGTATGGTATTCACTTACATTCCCTACCAGTTCGCAAATGTGAGCATGTGTGTCCACCAGTGGTGGGTTCCAGATCTCGGTGCAACCAGTATGGTGCAATGGGCCCCGGCGTCTTCCACATGAACACACGGAGCACACGCATGTGTCCTTACATCCTACGACGTTCTGAGACCCTCCTGCGACCCTACAGCTGCTCGGCAGAGCATTGTGCAGGTGCTGTATGCTCTGTGCGCAGAAGCCCCAAAGAGCTCAAATACAGGTAAGGATGGCGGGCGGCCTCTCCGGAGCACGGTACTGGAACGGTACCCGATGCTCCCGGCAAGCACCGGTACGCCTGTACCGGGGCATACCGGTCGTAACCCACCACTGGTGTCCACGCATGTGCTTGGCCTTCTGTGCATGCGCTTTGATATCGTGTGTGCCTTCCACGCATACACCTGGCCTCAAAAACGTGCCTAAGTAGGATGGCATAAAGCTGGAGCAGGTGGACGGGCCCACCTGCGATTTCCACTACCGGTTTGGATAAACCAGTCTGAACTGGCTAAATACCTCCTCTCATTTGCTTGTATGAAGCTACCTAATGCAAAACAGAGAATATGCATCAATCTATTTTATTTGCAAATCAGTCTTGAAGCTGCTATGCTAATGACTTTTTCTGCCACCATGCCCTAAAACTTTTTAGGAGTTAAGGCCAAGAGACAAGCTACAGCCAATCTGTAATTTTTGTGCGTAGGATGTGTCAGAAACCTGGAAATATGAAAAAGAATTTATCCATCTGTTATCTAAAATTAGTTTAATTGTGCATAGCTATCGCCCCTCCAACACAAGCCTCACAGGTAATTTCCTGTAGATGATTGCAGGTACAAGTTTGTAATGCACACTTGGCACAACATTCACCCAACTGGGGCTGAATCTTATCAGTTGGGCAAAAATAATGAAAGATAGGCGTTTCCTCAAATAACCAGACCCCACGCCTATTGCCTGAGTGTATTTATTTGTCTACTTCATATGGATTATGTTCCCATGGACTGGATTCTCTGGCATTCCTTTTCTTTATCCTATTTTTTGTTGTTAAAAAAAAAATCAGTTTCTCCCCATTCCAGCAACTTTTTTTTTTTTTTTTGCTTTGTAGAGTTGAATATTGTTGAATCTCATTTTAGAGTAAAACCGAAAGTCTTGACCCTTTGTTAATAGATTCAGAGAAAAGTAACCACTTAACCATCACCAGCTGGTGGGCACCTCCTTAATGCTAAAGGCTACAGATTGTTTAGATTATAATTATCTCAGGAATTTTAATTCTTAACCAGGCAGCTGACAAAAAAGAAAGAAAGAAAGAAAGGAGAGAGAGAGAGAGAGAGAGAGAGAGAGAGAGANAATTCGTAATTTAATAAACTTAATAAAAAGAACCACATGTTTTGAACAGCCTTCTCTCCAGCCACTTATACTTCTTCCTCTCGGCCCGCTGCCTCCGGTCGTCCTGAGGACTAGAGCCTTGCTTCCCCGTTTAAACTAACCCTTCCTCTTTCCTTCCCTTTAGGCCCCGGGAAGAAATACAAGGTTAAATTCGACAACAAAGGGAAGAGTTTGCTGTCGGGCAACCACATCGCTTACGACGCCCACCCGGTGCCCGAGAGGCTACACGTGGGCAGCCGGGTTGTGGCCAAGTACAAAGACGGAAACCAGGTCTGGCTCTACGCGGGAATTGTGGCCGAGATGCCCAACGTGAAGAATAAGATGAGGTCAGGGCAACCGGCGGCTGGGTTTGGAAAACGGGAAGGAGGAGGAGGAAAAGTCGGTGAAAACCGGGAAAGATGAAGTATTTATGTGGGAAGGTGACGCGGTGGCTCAGCGGCTAAGACGCTGAGCTTTGTCGATCAGAAAGGTCGGCGGTTCGAATCCCTCCCACTGCGTAGCGGAGTGAGCTGGGAGTTTGATCCTAGGTCGAAGCAGATACGTCTCTCTCTCTCTGGGCACAATGAGAATATATCGGCTGAACAAAACTCCATACTGGCAACGGGAAAGGCATCTGGCCACTAAACATTCTGCTAGCGCCATTCAGTTGCCCAGACTCCGCCCTACAAGGGATTATGGCGTCCTTAAAAGACATTGACGATTCTGTCTCCGGCATGTTTCTGAAGCGTTTGTTCCGATCGCTTCTCCTTGATGGAAGCGGGAACGAACTGTCCCCCCTCCCCTGTCCCCCGTTCTAGGTTCCTGATCTTCTTTGACGACGGTTACGCCTCCTACGTCATCCAGCCGGAGCTTTATCTCATCTGCAGGCCTCGTGAGTAGAACCGGCCCTCCTGCCGTTCGGGTTTGAGCAGGAGAGCCGGGTTTGGGGGAGGGTGGAGCCTTCCGTTGCGTGTCTAGCGTTGGTCGTTAAACGAACCGCTTCCGTCGCGTCACCTAGCCACGTGGTCGTTAAGTGAATCCAGCTGGTTGACTTTGCTTGTCAGAAACGAGGGAGGTTATATGACCTCCCTCGCCACGGTTCTTAAGCGGGTCGCCGCGGGTGTTGAGTTAGCCGCAGGGTCGTTAAGCGAGCCCGGCTTCCCCTTTTCGACCTTGGCTTGTCACAAGTTTGCAAAACCAGGACACCGCAACCGTCATAATTATGAACCAGTTGCCCAATGTCTGGATTTTGATCCTGTGGCTGTACGGATGCTCGGGGGGGGGGGGGGGGGTGAGCAGGAGTCCCTGTTTTCCACCAGTGCCGTTGTCGTAACTCTGAACGGTCGCTGAAGGAACTCTGGTTCAGTTGAGGGCTGTCTGGTGGGAACGACGGGCGTCGTATGTTTTCTCCGCGCAGTCAAGAAATCCTGGGAGGACATTGAAGATATCTCCTGCCGGGATTTCATCGAGGAATACGTCACGGCCTACCCCAACCGTCCCATGGTGCTCCTGAAGGGCGGCCAGCAGATCAAGACCGAGTGGGAGGGCACCTGGTGGAAGTCGCGGGTGGAGGAAGTGGACGGCAGCCTGGTCAAGATCCTCTTCCTGGTAGGAGGGGCTCAGAGGTCCCCCACCCGTGGCATGCCCCGGTCCCCCCCACCCGCCCCTCGCTGACCTCGGCTTCAGGCATGGCCCAACATCTCCCCTCTCTCTTTCTCTCTCTGTCTCTTTCTCTCGATCTCTTTTGTCTATCTGCTTCTCATTGCCTCTCTCTCTCTCTTTCTTTCTTTTTGTCTCCATCTATCCTTTTCTCTTTCTCTCTCTGCCTCCCTCTCTTTTTCTGTCTCTGTCTCTCTTGTCTCCATCTATCCACCTATTTTCCTTTCTCTGTCTCTACCTCTGTCTCTCTCTTTCTTTCTGTCTATTTCTCTCTCCATTTATCTCTCGTCTCCATCCTTTTCTCTTTCTCTTTCTCTCTCTTCTCTCTGTCTCGTCTCCATCTGTCCATCTATTTTTCTTTCTCTCTGTTTATCTGTTTTGTCTCCATCTATCCTTTTCTCTTTCTCTCTCTCCTGTCTGTCTTTCTCTTTTTCTGTCTCTGTCTCTCGTCTTCATCTATCCATCTATTTTTCTTTCTCTCTTTCTCTGTCTCTTTCTTTCTGTCTATCTCTCCATTTATCTCTCGTCTCCATCTATCATTTTCTCTCTCTATGTCTCTCTCTCTTCTCTCTGTCTTGTCTCCATCTGTCCATCTATTTTTCTTTCTCTCTCTGTCTCTGTTTATCTCTTTTGTCTCCATCTATCCTTTTCTCTCTGTCTCTCTGTTTTTCTGTCTCTGTCTCTTCATCTATCCACCTGTTTTTCTTTCTCTTTCTCTCGCTGTCTGTCTCTGACTCTCGTCTCCATCTATCCCTTTCTCTCTCTCTCTCTTTCTCTGTCTCTCTCCCTCTCTTTCTCTTTCTATCTCTCTCTGTCTATCTCTGACTCTCTTGTCTCCATCTCTCTCTCTCTCTCTCTCTGTCTCTCTCTTTCTCTCTCTCTCTCTCTCTCTCTNTGATACACTTTCTACAGTATGTAAAGAAGGAAGATTTTATGTGTTGTGTTTGTTTTGAAAATAAAAATAGATTCTATTTTTAAAAAATTACTACCGGTTCTATGAATGTGGCTTGGTGGGCATGGTAAGGGAAGGTTACTGCAAAATCCCCATTCCCTCCCAATCAGCTGGGACTCTGGAGGCAGTGAATAGATGTGGGCAGAGCCAATCAGAGGTGGTATTTACCGGTTCTTCGAACTACTCAAAATTTCTGCTACCGGTTCTCCAGAACTAGTCAGAACCTGCTGAATACCACCTCTGCTTGGGTTACAGCTGAACTTTTTCTACTAAATATCTGAGTTGAGATAGAGAAAAACTCTGACTTCATTTTTTAAAGGTACAGTTTAATTTGTTGCTTGTTAATAAATATTCTGTGGTTTCGGCTTCAGTAAATTTCATTAGAAACAGATCTTAACAGAAATAATATTGATTTTAAAATATCACCACTTCCCAATAAGTTAAATTAAATTAATCTGTGGCAGGTATTAGGCTTTGAACAGATAATTCTGATCTAATAAGAACTCTATATAAAAACAGGACATTTTTGGTATTCTCTATTGTAAAATATGTTTTTCCAGATAAATTCATACAGTATATTACATTTTCCCATTATGTCATCATTAAATAAAAGAATAAAAGGATGAATATAGGTGTGCTATACCAGCTCAAGGCCTCACAATTTTTCTCACAGTGGCCAACCAGATAGCTTTTGGGTGCTTATAACAAGAGGTAGAGACAAACCCATCTATTGACATTGTTATCCAGCAATGGCACGTTCACCACAGGCCAAAGATAAAACTAAGATTAATAGAGCTTGATAGACTTGATCTCCACAGTTTTATCTGATTCCTTTTTAAAAGACAATGAAGTTAGTGACCATCTCCACATCTTGCAATAATGAAATCCTTAGGTTAATTTGTGATAAGCTCCAATTAAGATACAACTCTGCAGTTATTATCAAAGAGAAAAGAATTAATCTTCCTTTTTATGACTTCTAGGAGCACATAATATGGCAAATGCCTGTGCTAACTTCTTCATTACAATTCAGTTTTGCTATTCATTCTGTAGTTCATTAATGAACTTGATCTTTTTGTCTGTATTCCAGAGCAAGTAGGCAAAAGTGCTTTGGATGAATGGCAAATCAAAGAACAAATGTCAAGAAGCTTTACCAGAAAAAAAGTTGAGTTCCAAAAGAAAGAAGGGAATTTGTAAAAATGGAATATAAGTTATTTAAGATCTATTTCTAAGACTCCTAGAATATATCATTTCTGTTTTTACCTTTAAACACACAGACAAACATTAACCAGTGAAACAGCTTGCCTTCAGAAGTCATAGATGCTTCATCATTGGAGGTTTTTAAGAAAAGACTGGACAGGCACCTGTCTGAAATGGTATAGGGTCTCCTGCTTGAGCAGGGAGTTGGACTAAAAGACTTCCAAAGTCCTTCCCAGCTCTATTCTCACTTTAGGATTATTGTGGCACACTTTTAAAAATATTTAGATCAGGGTAGATAGAATATCATGATCAGTCTAATCAAGCTATTCTGTTGTGGATTACCAAACATTATTTGTTTCCCTTTCAATAAAGAAACTTATTTTTATTTTTGCATGAGAAAAGAATTAAAAATCTGTGATGTTTGTAATATTTGTCTGACTCCCAATCATAGTATAACAGAAAAATGTGTAAGCTATGATTCAATGAACATAGAACAATAGGGTTGGAAGTGACCTTGGGGGTCTTTTAGTCCAACCCTCTGTTCAAGCAAGGGACCCTATACCATTCCAGACAAATAATTATCTAGTCCCTTCTTGAAAACCTCCTATTAATATGTTTAAGAAAATAAGCATTTTTTTCTTTTTACAAATAATACTGTTTAATTGTGATAGAAGGTTCAAGCACGATTATTTTCATTATCTAAGTTCTAATATGATCCAATTTGAGATCTAGTTTTCTATGCCAGAAAACCTATATGTGTTATGTTGCTGCTAGTGGAACGATGATGACGTCTTAATTCAGAGCAAATTCTTTTTAGCCTGGCTTGAAATTGTTAACATGATAATGAAGGCTCACAGGTTTTTCTATCTCTATTGTTTTGGTTCTTGATGCACATTTAGATTGAAGGGGGGGGGGGAACAGGCAGGCAGGCAATATGATTGTATATAGGATATATTGTGATATTGAATATGTTGCTCTTTCTTAATTACAGCTTAGAAGTAGTAGTTCTTTCAGCTAGAGAACTCTGATGATGAATAGATCTATCTGACAGAAGTGGAAAGCTAGTCCATATCTTATATTCATATATCAATAAACACATACCAGTCTGTAACATGACATAAGCTATAAATTTAAGCTCTGTTTATCTGTTTATCAGACAACCAACAAATTTATTTTACATCATTAGAGACTGAGCCATCTCAAAACTTTGTGGGCACCCCCTTGATGGTATTTGGAAATTATAATTTTTAATATAACAAATGTGAGAAATTATAAAATGTAATATTCACCATATTGATTTGGTTTAATTGCAATGAAAAATCATTATAAATTAAAGCAAATTAAAAGTAGTTTGGGCTTTATACTGATGTCACCCACTTATTATAATCATATTTATTCTTTTGAATACAATTCTTGGTGGCATCCATTCCAAAGATCATGGCAGACATTGGACTGAAAATTACTGCTTGTAGTTTTCATTTACAGGATCTTATTCAAGGCCTCTAGAAGAACACTAAAAATCATGTATTTCCCAATTTATAGTTGAAGATTGCCTCACCCACTTTTAACTATTTGCGCTCACTTTGTGACATTAAATGAATAATTCCTATATGGCTGGATTTAGGGGGAGAGTGATATTTGATCAAGTTGAGAATCTAGTAAACTGTTACATATTATTTTGTTCAAATTGTTCTCACCCCATCCCCTCCTAATGTATACCCCTCAGCACCTACAGTTCTGTAAACAGCCACCTGTTTGGCATAACACTTGCCATATCCACAGCCGGTTGTATGCCCCTTTTGGATAAATTGTTAACCTATTCCCCAAAAGGAATGAAGAAGTTCATCTGTTCCTGCTCAATGCCTTGTTATTGCACCACTACAAATCCAGGTTGCAGCTCAGATTGTCTTGTTGTGGGAAGTACTTTGGGAGCCCTTGTAGTCACGTTATTGTTTCCTCTGTCACACGTGGATGCATTTTCTTCTCCACTGAGACACTGGCAAAGATATCTCAGCAAATGTAATGCTAAACCATGTATTGTGCTTCTTTCCTTTGAAATGTAAAGGGAAAAGCATCTCTTATTGTACTTCTACCCCCCTTTCAGCTAAATGAAAATCTAATATGACTCACCCATTCCTTTTAAAAGAGAGAGTGGGAATTGTTTTCTTACTCTTTCAAATATACCCACCTTTTCTCTACAATAAACTGGAATTTATAGTTCCTGTCTAGTCGATTGTTTCTTAATTAAAATATTATTGAAGTCCTCAAAGCAGGACTCATAAATAGAAATGCCATAGAAGAACACTTATGTGAGCATCTTTAAATCACCTCGCTCTGCTTTGACTTGGCAGTACTTCTACATTGACTGCTATCTCCAAGGAATTGGCAATAGATTTTGATTTATGCATAACCAAATAAATACAGTGTTGATGTTGCAATTTTCTGATAGCAATGCTGAATGTGACTGAAGGCTTCAGCTGTTGTTAAGTCTTAAATTTTAACTCAAGCCTGTAGGGAATTAAGACAATATAAACCATTTGCAGTCTGGGGGACATAAATGAGAGAAAAATGTTCAGTCCCCTTGATCTTACAATAATAATTCAGTACGGCTTCCTATTCTATAGCTAATGTACCTGACAACAAAAATCCATTGATTTCTCATATACTAGCTTTGCTTCAGGTGTCTGTTTTGAACTGGAAGTGATGCATGTATTTTTCTGCAGTATGTCATGGTTCTGGTTAAGGTTTTGGGCAAAATAGAGTATCTGCATAAATCACTGCAATTTCCTCTTTGCAGAAATGAAGGAGAACTGTATTATTCCAGAAATATATACCTGGTGCTTTTGTTACCATGCTCCAGAGACTCCAGTAGTATTCACAGTATAGAATATATTTTTTTCTCCAGCATACTTGTGAAACTGTGAATGTTTCCCATTACTTTCTTCATGACATGGCTATTTTTCCAGGGTTTTTTTTTTTTTTGACTATGTAATGCTGCAATTGAAAAGTGTGAACTCTGTTATTTCACATCTTCATTCTTCAAATTCTAGTTGGAATAATAGCAATAGCACTTAGATTTATATACTGCTTCACAGTGCTTTACATCCCTCTCTAAGTGGTTTTTACAGAGTCAGCATATTGCCCCCAACAATCTGGGTCCCCATTTTAGCCAACTCGGAAGGATAGAAGGCTGAGTCAATCTTAAACCTGGTGGGATTCGATCTGCCAAACTGCTGGCAGCTGGTGATCAGCAGAAGTAGCCATGTAGTTCTGCACTCTAACCACTGTGCCACCACAGCTCAATAATCCCACAATATTAATATGCTTTCTTTCATTGATATTTATTTTCTTTTGTTTCAATATTTTCATGTTTCTTTATCTTTATCCTTCCAGCGCAGAACAAAAGATGATAGTTACTGCTCAGGAAATTCCTGCTCTGGTCAATTGTATGCATTATATTAAAATATTATTATATTGTCCACTATCCAAATGATTCCAGAATGATAAACAATGAAAATAATAAATTTGAAAAATAGCAAAAGTACAATGAAACAACTTTTGAACAGATATAATGAAAGCAATAAACATTTCAACTACAATTTCAAGTTCAGAAGCAGTTTGAAGGGTTATACAAATTCAAATTCCTGGGTAACAAGATACTGTTTATCTTAACCTGATGCTGGCTGATTGTAAAATACGCACCAGACATAATTCATTAGGATAAGAAATAAGTTTGACCACAATATAGGAAATATTGTTCGTTTCTTTAATTTCTTTCCATTATTTCACATATTTTCAGGGTAGACAGAGAAGAAATAGAAAAGGCAACATATTTTACTTTATGTTGTAAGATTCTAATCATGTCGGTCTCTGCTAGTTCTATTTGTAGGCATCTTCACTTTTTTCCAAGATAATATAATGCTGCATCTCTTAATAATTGGATATAACATGTGGATCAGAGAGCCTATGAAAGAATGTTGCATTGCTGCTTCAAATGAGTAATGAATTTTTCTTTATTATATTTTATTTTATATTCCAGGTTGCCAGAATCTGAATCAATTATGTATGTTGTGCACAGTTGGAAGCAGAAATAAATGTTTTTGGATATCATTAGCCAAGTTGCATCACTTAATCTTAGTGTCACCATCACTTTTCTCATTGCAGCATTTTCCATTTTCAGCATATGGTAATAAAGCATCTAATGGGAAAACCAATTTTGTGTAACAGAATGATAAGTTTTCCTTCAACTTCCTTTATGTTCATGTGTAGCTTTACTGGGTCCTTTTTGATAGATTTTTGAATCTTCCCATTTTAAAATGACTATTATGTCCACAATTTATCACATTTAGAGCAAGATACTTAGTCAAGTACAGTGTTGTGTCTTCTTTTCCAAGTGTGGCTTTTTTGGTCTATATTATCTCCACTTATTTTATTGATAGGAATCTGTGAATGGTAGGGTAGAGATAAAACTGTTTTGCAAAAATAAGTCTTAGTCTCGTGAATAAAAATAGTCCTTTTGCACAGCACACAAAAATATGCTTTTATATCCTTTAACAGCAAGAAATATCTGATGTGTGCATGCTTTTTCTCTGTGATTCTACATGTAGTTCTTCTATTGGACAAGTAAGAACTGTGACGTATAGTCTTTCATGGTGGTAGAAAAGATTGTCATTGTTTGCAAAACATTTAGAATATTTTCACCCAAATAACAATTGTTCTATCAAAAGTGCAGCTGTTCTTAGTGCTATGACTTCCACGAGAAGAAGAAAAGAAATGCATAAAACATAAAAATTCTCCTTTTAATAAAATCCTGGGAACCTAGGAAAGTTGTTCAGAAAGAAAAGATTTAGCAATTTTAAAAAAATTGTCAGTAAAAAGACAGTGGGAGAACCAATAAAG